TGTGTGTGTGTGTGTGTTGATAAACCTGAGTGGTCTGTTGACTGACCTTTATATTTGTTCAAATAATAGTTATGGGCAGGTTACTCTTGTGATTATTTGACAGGAGTTTTACTTTTAAACTGTAAGTGTATTTAATTTAGTTATGTTAGTTATGATAGTTTAGTTATAATGTAAATACAATGAAAATTAAACCAAGATTTAGAATAACGATCATTTTGATCCATACATTGGTAATGTCTGACTGGGCCTCGTGTCACTTTATGTTCAATAAATTGGGCCCAGAGGTCCCTGCTTTAAGTTACCTGCATAACCCTGGTTCTCAGAGTAGCATGAGTGAGAGGTTTCACCAGACATCCCTTCTTGTTGGGGCAAAGAGAGAAGAAGGACTTATTTTGAATGATGCTGTGTTGTGGAGCGAGCTACTTAAAGGTGATGCATGCGCCAAGATCACCAGTCAATCAGGATTGGAGTAATGGAGGAATACACAGAGGTCACATATCCTATAGTGAGACCTACAGTTTTATGTAAATGGTAAATGGACAGTACTTTTAAAGCACTTTTCTATCCATCCAGGATACTTAAACCTCTTCACACTACAATCTGTGTCCTCATTTACCCATTCACACAGCACTCTATTAGGTCTCTACAAAGCTAACATGTACAATCATCTGTGGAGACTAATCAGTGCCAATCACATTCATACACTGATGGGACACACATCAGAGGCATTAGGGGTGAAGTGTCTTGCATTAGGGGTGAAGTGTCTTGCCCAAGGACACAACAGCTGACACAGCTGGACGGGGAATCGTACCAGCGACCTTCTGGTTCCAGGACGACTCCCCTAACCACTCTGCCACAGCCGCCCCATATGTTGGCTGGAAGCAGCTTCTCTGTTTCTAACCTGGTCCAGTGCTTTAAGATGGTCTCCAGACGCTGCAGCTCTTTGTTGACCTTGGCTGTGTTGTTGAGCCAGTGTTCTCCCAGCAGGGACAGTTTATTCTCCAAGGCAGGACAACAAATAAACTGTAAGAGATGCTTTCCTTCATCCAGGACCTGATGGAGCTTGTGCTGGTGCTCTGTCAGTCTTCCCTTCAGACCCTTTCCAGAGACAGAGAAGATGCAGGTTTGTATGCTGGATTTGTTCGTACTCAGAACGTCATGAACTGATGGCCCTGGAGCTTCCTGTGACTACAGCAACACAGTTCTGACAGGGAGGTGGTCCTGTTCTGAGTAGATAATCAGAATCTAGCAGAAGTAACATCTAGTAAACATGTAAATAAATGTACATCAACATGTTGGCTGCTTCTGGATGATTTCAGACTAATGGGAGATGATGATTTAGCCATGTGCTGTGTCTGTGTGTTCTGCACCACGTCCCACCTGATATAAAGAGATTTTGTCCATCAACCTGTCTTCAGCCTCTTCCACCAAACCAGCTGAGGGGATATTCCCTTCGACTGCCTCCAGCTGCTGATTCAGACTCTGGTAGTCCTGCATCAAATGGCACCAAGTCTGAAAACAAACAAATAAAATAATGTTAATTGCAAGAAATTTAAATTAATATTTTGTTTTTACATTAAATATAAATCAAGAAAGGCCACTCAACAAAACTTAGTGCCACTTAAGTTGATCACCAGTTTTATTTATTATTTTGTCTTTGGACCTTAATTTAGCTCGTCCTGAATGAAGAGTTTGTGTTTCATGCTAATGAAATCATTTCTATAATGTTCAAAATAAGATTCAAAGTTAGAACAGAGATAAATGTGTTCAATAAAGTAAAAAAAACATGAATTTGTTCAGATATTTTTAGATCTGTGATCATTGTGTAAAACGTAGCAGTTAATCACATTCACAATAAACCATTAAAGAATGTTCATGTTGTGGCTCAGCAGGTCTATTTTGTAAATCAGACTACTTGATCTCTGTCTAAACCAAAGTAAAATAAATAAATAATAATTTGTTGTGGCTTTATAAGTCATTCTCACCTGCAGGATACTTTCCAGTTCCACTCCTTTACTGTGCGCCTCCTTCAGGACGCTCCGAGCGTCAGAAAGCGTCTCCTCCAAGGCCTGACTCTCTTTTGGAAGCATAGGAGCATTGATCTTCCTGAAGTAGGTTTCTGTTAGAATCATGTGGGACTCTAGACCCTGAAAAAACTCCTGGAAAAAATAAACACAATTAAAGTCCAAGCATTAATAATAATAATAATAAAAATAATAATGCATTTTATTTGTTAGCGCCTTTCAAGACACTCAAGTATGGAAGCCCATTTCCGCCACCCTGATAAAAAAATAAAACTTGTATCTCATAATTATGACTTAGCTATCTCATTATTATGAGATACTATCTCATAATTATGACTTGGCTATCTCATAATTATGACTTAGCTATCTCATAATTATGACTTAGCTATCTCATTATTATGAGATACTATCTCATAATAATGAGATAGCTAAGTCATAATTATGAGATAGCTGATAGCTAAGTCATAATTATGAGATACAAGTTTTATTTATTTTTTTTATCAGGGTGGCGGAAATGGGCTTCCATACTCAAGGACACTTTACAACATTAAAAACTAATATTAACAATGAAATGTCTATAAAAACAGTAAAAAATCTTAAAAATTAAAGTGAGAAGGCTAACTTGAACAGATGAGTTTTGAGTTGTACTTTGAAGGTAAGAAGAGAGGCCATGTTACGGATGTCAGGGGGAAGAGTGTTTATTGAGTGTTTATTTATTTTTACAGGTTTTTTTATTTGAAACATTTGCATTAAACATTTTGAATGTGTTTATTTTATGCCCACAATTTCATTTTTAGAAATGTCTATTTTTTGTTATTGTTTATATTAAAAAATATATATATATATATTT